GTTCTCCCCAACCTGGGGTTGAGCCGGAGCCAGGGTGCCGAAGGCACCCGGGTTCTGAGTGAGCGTTTGGATGAAGGCGGAGAGCGCCGATTGCACGTCGATGGTGAGAACCGGAGGGCTGACTTGGTCATCGCTCCGGTTTTTCTTTTTGGCCTTGATGCCGAGGCGGGCATCGGGGGCATTCTGTTGGATCTGAAGGCGTAGGTCGACAGCCGCCTGTTCCAGCCCAGCGATGACACCGCCCTCGGGAGTCCTGTGAGAGGCTTCGGGGGCGTTGACGTCGCCGAGGGCCAGGTTCTTGTCTTCTACGTTTTTGGAGTTGGTACGAGTAGTTCTCACCATTTTGGTAGAGGGCTAGTGTTTGGCGAAGGGGGAGGGTTTCTTACTCGATTGTTCGACCTCTCAACGAGAGCACCAAATGATGGATAGTCTACCCGGGGGGTATATATCCGAGGGGTTATTGCTGGGAATAACTTAGAGAGAAGCTAGAGCAAGTGAATGTAGAGAGAGAATGTATTATAAATGTGGAGCGTTTTCAGCGTGGTTACAAATGGGGAAATGGGGTGCTATTTATAGTAGCAATAAATGCCGGACAGGGACACGTGTCAAGCGCCCATTGGCCGAGAGGTCACCTCAACTGGTTGGCGTTGGCAGCCGCATGTGGCCGCATTTAATGCGGCTGTTGGATGGGACGTCTGTACAGGGTACGGTGATCTGTGCGCATGTGAGGCGGATATCATGTCGGGAGAGGTGCCTTCGGCTATAGAGCAGCAGCCGAGGGCTCCTCAAACCGATGGCACCCTGGTGCCGAGGGCTCCTGGTGCCGAGGGCTCCTGGTGCCGAGGGCTACTGTTTTTGCCGTTTTCTCCCAGTTTCTTAGTTTGCTTGAGAACCCCGTTCTGTGAGAACTTAGAGCCTTCGGCCAGGGGGCCGAAGGCACCCCTGGCGCGTAGTGCGGGCTGCTTGGTACTCTGGGCGTTGTGATTTGGGCCTGTTGAGCCTTCTGGGCCTGTTGGGCCTTTGCTGGAGTAGTAGGAGTCTGTGGGCCGGGGGTTCCCGGGCCATATACTCCATCATATGGGTTACAATATATCAATTAATTTCATATAATTTAAATTTATTTGTTAATTAAAAATAATTACATATCATTTTAATTTGTATGGTTAAAATAAAAAATAAAAAAAATTCCACTTGGAATTCCATCATCCGAATGGGATGTTAATTTTTTTCAAAAAGTTTGATTTGGAATAGCATCTTCCGAATGGATAAAAAAATGAAAAAAACCAAGTGGTTCGGAACGTGTGTTTCCGAATAGGAGATACACCCTAATATTTAATTGGAAACCCTAATCTATTCGGAATGTCTTCTTCCGAATTTCGTGATTTTGGAAATCCTATATTTATTCTCGTGTTTTCGACATCAATGTTGAGTTTTCCCGTGTTTTCAGAAAACACCCAACATAGACTTCTACGGAGTAATATATGTTGTGGATAGTGAACAATTATAAAAAGAGGTGAAGCGTATATGTACTCACACACGTTATTATGCACAATTATTATGGACTTTAAGAACATGTGTATTTGTCTTTAAAACATATGCAATGTAATTAACCATTCCAATGCACCACAAAGCTGCAAATTAAATGCTTTACCTCTTCTTAAATATAATTAGCTACATTTCAGGTTATTTAAAACCCCGTTTTTATCAGTAATCATTTGACTCTGTGTTGGAAGGGACTTATTTTCTTAAGCATATTAAATAATTTAGAGCTGTAATAATAATGCTGACACATTACTAATTACAAATTATAATGTGCTATTGAGAAGCTCTCTATAACTAAAAAGGAAAGAAAATTCAATGACTTATAACACAAATTATTTTGTGCTAAATTGTAGAAGGAGATCGTAAAAAGTAGGTGTGTGTATATTTATACTTATATATATATTTCGTGCTTAAAAAAGATAAATGAAGTATGCGTTTAAAACGTAACCCATAAGAACTACTGTCTACTACCAGTTATTTAAAAAATAATTAAACAAGGTAGTTTGAGTATATTTTGAGAAATAATTTAAATAGGTATATATGTATAACACCACAAAACAACAACACATTTGTCACGGATTCTGTCCGTGACAAAGTTGTCATGGTCTTTGTCACGGTATTGTCACAGAAATATTTGTCATGGAAATATCCGTGACAAAATCCATGACAAAGTTGTCACGGATGGAATCCGTGACAAATATCCGTGACAAACACCCTCCGGTAACCGGTAAATTACCCCGGCCAAATTTTATTACGTCCGGGCACCTTGTCACGGATTGATCCGTGACAAATCCGTGACAAAATTCAAAAAAATTTGATGCGGAACAATCCGTGACAAACCCCAATAATTGAAACTCCACCAGCAACCACTTAATGTTGTACGAAAAGGGTGTTGTCACGGATTGTTCCGTGACAAATCCGTGACAAAAAAATATACATATACCGCAACATGGTTTCATTCGAGTTATATCGGTTAGAATTTCATCACAATATAATACAATATCTGTTGAATGATTGAAGGATGTAATCTATCAGTTTATCATTTTCCCCGTTTATGCAGATAATAAGGTATGTCATTTCAATTATGTATTTTTTTTATTAAGTATTAATTTTTTCATTTTAAATAATTAAAATTTTTAAATTAGTGATGAGGTTGTTAATTTATTAACAATGTATTTAACCATAAACGTAATTTAGTTAAATTTAAATATTAGTTAATTGAAAATGGATTATAAAATTATCAGGTTTGGTTTTTTTGACTAGTTATTAGGTTTGTTTATTCTATTAGCAATTACTTTTAATGCCTAATTTAGGATTTATATATAGTGATTTAAGTTAGGATTGAAGCATTAGTTTAGTGTGAATTATTAGTTAATCGAAATGAGTTTGAATTGATAATATTATTAGGTAATACCGTTAATTTAGGATTTAATTGATAATATTATATTAGTTAAACTTAAATATTAGTTGATTGAAATGGATTTAAATGTGAATTATTTGAATTTCATTTCATTTACATGTTAGTTAATTATTTATTGTGTATTATTAGATTTTCATAATTTTAGTATTCTGAATTAATGCCATCACTACTACATTTTTAGACCTAATGTAACATTAATGATGTAACATATCTATAATAGTGTTACCTATTTCTCTAATGTAACACTTTTTAGACCTAGTGTAACACTTTCTAGAAGTATAAGTGTTACATTAGGTACTATAAAGTGTTAGAATAGGTCAAATGCAACACCAGCAAATGTAATGGTAAAACAATGTTACATTTTCTCTGAAAAGTGTTACATTAGAGAAAATGTAACATTTTTTTACCATTACATTTGCTGGTGTTGCATTTGACCTATTCTAACACTTTATAGTACCTAATGTAACACTTATACTTCTAGAAAGTGTTACACTAGGTCTAAAAAGTGTTACATTAGAGAAATAGGTAACACTATTATAGATATGTTACATCTCTAATGTTACATTAGGTCTAAAAATGTAGTAGTGCATTAACGTAATAATTTAGTGTATATTAGTGTTAAAATCCTAATAATATTAGATTTTCATAATTTTTTCATTTTAAATAATTAAAATTGTTAAATTAGTGAGGTTGTTAATTTATTAAAAATATATTTAACTATAAACGTAATTTAGTTAAATTTAAATATTAGTTAATTGAAAATGGATTATAATAAAATTATTAGGTTTGTTTATTATATTAGCAATTATTTTTTATGCCTAATTTAATTAGAATTTATAGTGATTTAAGTTAGTATTGAAATATTAGTTTAGTGTGAATTATTAGTTAAATGTAAATATTAGTTAATTGAAATGAGTTTGAATTGATAATATTATTAGCTAGGTAATTAGTTAATAATTTAAATGATTAGTGTGTAATTACTTAATAATTTAAATGACTAATGATTAAATTTAGCTAGTGAACTTTAGTGAAATGTAATATATTAATGTTCGTAAATGTTAATTAATTATGATTCAAAAGTTAGTTAGTTGAAATGATTAATGTCACAAACATATTGCTTTTAGTTATGATTAATTATTGTTTATAATTTGTAGTTTTTATTATATTAAATTAATATTTTTTAATTATAATATTCAGACATTATGCATAGACAAAATAGAAGTTGGATGTATGATAAACATGGTGAAAAAAGAGGAATGCGACCTCAATATTTTGAAGAAATTAAATAAATTTTTTTAATTATTCCAAAAATGTTTGTCACGGATAAATCCGTGACAAAGTAAAAACAATTTGAATTCAAAAAATTTCAAGTTTCCCACCTAGGCAATTTCGAATATTTAAAAAACAATTCAAAAAAAATTTGTCACGGATAAATCCGTGACAAAAATGAAATCTTTGAATTTCCACAAATTTCAAACTCCCGCGCCTACTCCATTCAGAATTTAAAAAAAATCAAATTTTTTTGTTACGGAAACATTCGTGACAAAAAACACCGGCGTTGCTCCGACGCCTTGTTTTGTCATGAAATAATGGCCGTGACTAATATTTTTGTCACGCAAATTTTGTCACGGATTTATCCGTGACAAAATCCGTGACAAATTTTTTTTGTTACAGATTTTTTGAACAGGAATCCGTGACAAAATCCGTGACAAAGTCCGTATTTTTTGGTAGTGATAATATAATGGGGTTAGTGTTGAATTGAGCATACTCCATATTATATGATCTTTACTTTTTATATAACCGTTCACCATCCACACATATATATTAAATGTCTTGGGGTAACTTTATAAATTATATACAAATATATATAATACCTAATCATTGTTCAAAGTTTGCGATTATTAACAAAAAAATCAATTTGACAAACCTTTTAAAGACGGAGATAGTATTATATAATCTTTACTTTTTCATATAACCGTTCACCATCCACACATCTATATATTAAATGTCTTGAGGGAACTTAACAAACTCGATCTAAATTAATTTCACCTTTCAGTGCCCATAGCATTAGAGATCTAATCGACCAAGAAAAATGAGAACATCCAAAATATATTTTACGTTCCTTTTGATAGTAACAATCTCCAATATGAGATTTTCAATTGGAATAATCGATGAGGAAGACCCAGGCGTTTTGGATTATGTTCTAAAATTTTATCCGGACAAGCAACCACCTTGTAGTGAATGCAGGAAGCATGTTCTTGCACTCATACAGCAAGATGGTGAGCGGACAACAGATAAGACTCCTTCACGATTGTGTTGCTCCCAATTTATTGAATGGGGATTTGAATGCTACGCGTTATGGGCAGCTAGCGACAATCACATGGATTACCCGGAATTTGGAGATTCTATGGAAGTATTAGACAACATTAACAACATATGGGACCGTTGTGTCAATCTCATTAAGGATGATTGAGGACTTGCTGAAATCGTTATGATCCATTACATTTGATACGAAGTGCACATATGCCAAAACATGTATTATTAGATTGGAAATCTTTAAAGTATACTTCATCCGTTCTTAAATAAATGCAACGGTCAACATTTCACACTTGCCGAGACACAACTTTGACCATTAATATAAATGATTTTGTATTAGTAAAAAAATTAAAAAAATTAGATTATGAAAATTTACAATGAGACAAGTTTAACAATATTTTTTTCATAAAATAATATTATTACATTAATAAATAAAACGTAGTCAAAGTAGAACATGTGAATAGTGTAAAAGTCAAAGTGTTGCATTTATTTAAGAACGGGATAGTATTAATTAATACAAAATTTGCCCTCCAATTTTATTGTTTTGGGAATTTTCGACTTCTTTTTATTCGAACTAATGTATGTGTATATATATTATGTGAAATTATGTTCTGATTGTGTGTGTGTGTGTGTGTGTGTGTGTGTGTGTGTGTGTGTGTATATATATATATATATATATATATATATATATATATATATATATATATATATATATGGGAGGGTTCAAATACAAAGAGGTCTTTCCATGAAAAGTGAGAATTAATCTCGTGCGTTTATTTTGATATCTAATGGCTCAAAATGAGCCAAAAGTGAACTAAATTTGATAAAAAACGCGGTGGCAATTTCGTAATTAAAACGAAGTTTTTTGCCATCGCGAAAAAGTGCAACAGAAACACGCAAAAGTGCAACGCGGTGAAGAAAAAGTGCAATTGTTCGCACTTTGCACGGGAGAACCTCTTTTTATTTGATCTTTGGTTCCTGATGCTTGATTCAAAATTCTTCGAAATTTGGTTTGACTGATCTTCAATTTGTTATTGTTAGGCATATTAATTTTTAATTTATTCAATATTCGAGTTAGTTTTGTATGTAATTAACATCCAATATTTAAAAGGCTGATATAATCTTGTGTTTTCCCTTAGAATCAGGATTTCAGTTCTAGTTATGTGTTTTTAACCAATATCTGCTTTTGATTTTTATTTGTCTATAGTTTCATTCTCTTGGTAAACTTATAAACAACTAAAAGTTTGATAATACATTTAAACAACTTTAGTCTAGATCCTGTGAATTTTAACTTGAAAACATTCCCTTGATCATGTGAAATAGACATTTAAAGCTTGCTTTTATGAGTGCAGACAATGTCCAAATGAACCACTACAATGAATTTTTTCTTAATGAACTTTAGTCATTATTTTGCTCTGATTTTTGCTAGTTATCAATTTCACAATAATAGTTATAGATTTAGATTTAAAAGTTAAGCTTATTTATTTATAAGTGAGGGGAAAAACCAACCAAGAATCATTTGTAATCAGCCAACCAAGAGTAAAGCTAGCAAAGAAATTATATGTTCCGGTAAATTTCCAATTAGGAGAAATGGCTCTATGGAGTTACAAACTAAAGTAAAGACTATGGCTCTGTACACAATGATGCCAACACATGAATTGTTGAAGCCACGGTAAAGTCCTGTGACACCTTCAGAAGCAAATGTCTTCTTGTAGACATCAATAGTCATTTGCAGCAGCTGCAAATGACTCTTGAAAGCTGCAACCCAAACTCCACCCATGACAAAATAACTAGCAAAACTCGTAAAAGTTGTTCATTTTGATTAAGAGGTTATTTTTCTTTATTCAAAAGTTATAGTAATTCTTAATTCACTTTTTTATAAAGAAAGGTTATAGTTATCCTTAATATACACTTACATAAAAAATGCAAGCTCTTAAGCCTTAGAGGTCTTGGGTGTTTTAGTAAAAGTTAAGCCTTAAGCTCTCAACCTCTCAACCCACCTCTAAGGCGTAAGCTCTCAACCTCCAAAATCGCGTAGTTGAGTCCTCATCCATAGTACTTGTGAACAGCAACTAGCAGCAGCAACATATTCAACTTTTGCCGTAGATGTAGACACACAAATTTGCTTCTTTGAGGATCAACAGACCAGCTTTTCTCCAAGAAATTGAGCACTACCAGAAGTACTCTTTCTATCCATTTTACATGTAGCGAAATCCGCATCAGTGAATGCTATCAGATCAAATGCAGTCTCCTTAGGATACCAGAGTCCTAGATTAGGACTTCCTTTCAGATAACGAAGAATCCTTTTCACAGCAAGCAGATGTGATTCCTTTGGATTTGCCTGAAAGCGAGCACAGAGACAGGTAGCAAACATAATATCAGGTCGACTCCAGGTCAGATACAACAATGAACCAATCATTCCCCTATAAGTGGTAATATCAACAGGCTTTCCCAATGGATCAGTATCAAGTTTACAGGCAGGAGTCATCGGGGTTTTCACAGGGGTGTTGTTCTCTTGACCGTATCTCTTTAGAAAATCATGAATGTACTTGGACTGATGAATGAAAATTCCGTCAGGCAATTGTTTAACTTGTAGTCCAAGAAAGAAATTCATTTCGCCCATCATGCTCATTTCGAACTTAGATTGCATCACACTTCCAAATGCAGTGCATAGTGCTGGATCAGTGGAGCCAAAAATGATGTCGTCAACATAGATCTGAACCAAGATGATGTCAGACCCATGACGCTTGATAAAGAGAGTAGTATCAATTGTTCCTTTAGAAAAGCCAGAATCAACCAGGAAATCAGACAGTTCCTCATACCAAGCTCTCGGGGCTTGTTTTAGTCCATACAAAGCTTTATCCAGACGATAAACGTGTGATGGTCCCAGATAGGGTAAAAGTCTAGAGGGGGGGGGGGGGTGAATAGACTTTTAAATCTTTTTCGACTTTTAAAAGTTTTCCCTCTAAAAGAGTTAATCTATAAACTTTTGAGAGATTTATAGATGCACAGCGGAAGTCTTTACCCTTTATGGTCACTAAAAAGTTTTCTGGAAATATTAGAATAGGCCTTTTGGTGATATTGGTGCACTTCTCTTGTATGAAAATGATCTTAAAGAAGGTAAGTAATTAAGCAGTAGGATAAGCAGTTGAGTCAGTTAAGACAACCGCTTAGGATTCTGCTGGCAAACTTCAATCTTTTTGTAAAAGGTGCTGAGTGTGTGCTTTGTTGAATGAAAGTAAATCAACACATAGTATATCCTGGTTCAGAGGTGGTGTAATCCTCCTACGTCCAGTCCCACCCTCTTTCAGATGGATTTCACTAAAGTATTAAGCCCAATACACTTAGTGCCAATCTAGCCTTTACAACACTTAGGCCTAGATTGAAGGTTTTTCACGATGAGTATAGCACAACTCAAAGTGACTCAATCCTTAGACTTTTCTCTAATGAACCAGTGGGGATCAAAAGGTACTCTATCTATCTACTTACACTGTAGGATCCGAACAACTGTTCTCCTAAGTGTTTACAACAATATGTGATTTGTTACAAGAAAGTTCTAACCTCAAGCAGGGATATGGGTAGGTAGCCATCTTGATGAGGCTAGTTGCTTCAAGTTTTGCTAGATAGAGAGTCGTGGATAGAATATCACTTTTCTTTTGTTAGATATTTCTTGAATGCTCAATATAATATCTCTCTACTTAGGATGCTCAAGCTTGGTTAAAAACTTTCGTTTCAGCCTATATTTATAGGCTTCTCCTTTGGATTAATCTCATTCGTTGGTTAGAATGAATTACACTGACGTTGAAATTCTTACAAGGACGAATTGTACATTCGTCTTCTTGTGCTGGAGCATTTATTTGGGATGATTTCTTTGTCTTGAGTATCTCAGCCGCTGAAGCATCTCTTCGGAAAATCTTCTCATAATAATACATGCATCCTATGCTCCGGTCCCATGTATTAATTGCCACTCAATTTTTGTCTTCAATCATATACATTCAATGTATATAATTTCCGAGCTTCTTTTCTTTAATAATGTGACATACAGTTAACTTTTGAGCTAAAATAATATATACCGGTAGGATCTAAATATCCTATTAAGGTAAATAAAAATTACCTTATTGCATTTTAATTTTTCCGGTAATATTCAAATTGACTCAAAAATTGTACATTTATTTTGTCACTTTTGGAGTCTAGTACTTAAATAAAGTGAGACACAATGTATACGTGCTAAGTATAGTGGCATCATCAAAATCTATCAAAATTGGATACTAACAACGTGATCTGGATATTTCTTACTGATGAAGCCTTCTGGTTGATCCACATAAACTTCTTCTTTCAAGATCCCGTTCAAGAATGTTGTTTTGACGTCCATTTGATAGATGGTGAAGTTCTTGTGTGCCGCATAAGCCATGAATAGTCGAATGGATTCAATGCGTGCTACTGGAGCGAACGTCTCATTGTAATCAATACCTTTTTGTTGATTGTAGCCTTTTGCTACTAATCGGGCCTTGTTGCGAATCACAATCCCGTCTTCATCCTTCTTGTTCTTGAATATCCACTTAGTGCCTATGATTGATTTTCCAGGGGGCCGAGGCACAAGTGACCAGACTTTCAGTCTTTCAAACTCATTGATCTCTTCTTGTATGGCGATTATCCAATCAGGATCAGCTAATGCTTCGGTGACATGAGTAGGCTCAGTTTGACTAAGAAAACAAGAAAACAGACATTCATTGTCGGTGGCAGATCGTGTGCACACACCACTTGAAGGATTTCCAAGTATGAGATCAGGTGGATGAGCACGAGTCCATTTTCTAACATGAGGGAGTGGCTGAGCATTATTGTTAGGTTGCTGGTCAACATAAGGGTTATCAGCATGAGGAATAGATGAAGATGTAGGATCAGTAGGCGGAGGTGATGAAGTTTCAATTTCAGCTGTGGTTGCAGAAGATGATGGAATTGATGCGGGAGTAGGGGTTGCAGCTGTAGATGTAGTAGTGGGTGGAGGAGATGGATCATGTGATTGTGGATTCTCGTAAATTTGGTCAAATAGATGATCGAGATCCAGTGAGTCGGAATCAGGTGAGGGAGATGAGGCGGGTATTTGTGCTAGAACACCAATGATATCGGGTTCTGAACTGATGTGTCCAGAAGCCTGTTCTTCTTTCTCGTCAAAGGTCACATTGATGCTTTCAATGACCTTCTTTTTGTCTCTGATGTACACTCTGTAAGCTTTGGATGACGAAGAATAGCCAATGAACAAGCCTTCTATTGCTTTTGGATCAAACTTACCTCGTTCTTCTCTATCATTCATGATGAAGCACTTGCATCCAAACACTCTCAAAAAAGAAACACTGGGAATTCGGCGGTTGATCAGCTCATAAGGTGTCTTTCCAAACCTTTTGTGAATAGAGGTCCTGTTCTGAGTGAAGCAGGAAGTGTTGATAGCTTCAGCCCAGAGAGAATGTGGAAGTTTGGAATGGATCAGCATTGTTCTAGCAGCTTCAACAAGAGTTATGTTCTTTCTTT